TGTTAGATGGATCTTGGCTGAAAGCAGGGAGTATCAGAGGAAGATCTATTTGTGTTTCATTGACTATGCACAGGAGAGGACGACCCTTGATGAGATGGTTTGATTCAGTGACTGAGATAATAGGGATAAGGGTGTCGGAGGCAATGAGATTGGCACAGTATAGAACTGGGTTAAGACTGTTGTACACAAGGTCGCTATGAGTTGCAGGTAACTCAATGGCCCATAATAACAACATATTATTATTCACTTATTACTAATGAATCTTAATTGCATGTTTGATCCTTTTCAGACTGCAGAAGTTGGTAGAAATCCTGAATTTCTTCATGTTTGACTTTGTGGTTGGTGTAGATTTGAGTAACAGTTGCATTAGGGATCTTCTTTGTGTTATCTTATCAGACATGGTAATATCCTCCAGAACAGACTGTGAATGCTCTTTTGATGATGAAGTGATCCAATTCCTCTTTTAAGGATAGCAGATTACAAATGACCAATACAACCCATTTCCAATTACTAATGCCTAGGATATTTATGCATTCTATTTTTTTTTAACAACTTCAAATTTTACTAGTTCATAGTGCATTCCACATTTTGAGGGTGTAGATGTTTGTAGCTGTTTCTAATCATTTTGAGTACTGCAACATCACCAGATCACTCACACACCTTCTGTATCACTCACAACCCTTTCCTATCACTGTTGATCCCTGTATCACTTACAATGTCCCTGTATCATCCATACCACCTGTAACCCCACCTTGTGTCACCAGTACCCCCCGTTATCAGCCACGCTCCTGGAATCATCCTCCAAGACCCTTCATATCACTCTTCACCTCCATCCTGCATATCGCCAGTACTTCTCCGCTCATAGTCCCCTTGGTCACTGTACCTGCTCTATCATCTGAGCTGTCTCAGGAGTCCCGTTGTACCCGTCATGCCCACTTCTTCCTCCCCATACCACGTGCACTCTATCACTCAGACCCCCTGCATCACTCACACCACCCGTATCGTAATACTCAGAATTCTTGTTCTACTCACATCTCATGTCACTTGTAGTGTTTTCACTCCTATTTTCCAGTTACACTTATTTCCTGTTATTCTAGAAACTCTCCAGGTCTGGCCTCACAGCCTCTGCACTCACCTCTGTTTAGAATGCTCTCCCAGATCTTTACAGATCTATGAAGTGAACAAGCCTAAGAGTCTGACTTCACTACTTGGGAAACTCTCCACCCACCCATCCCTCCCTCTCTCAAGCACTCTCTCAGAACTTTTATACTCCTTTGCCACTACTGAATATCTAATTGCTCATTAAGGAGCTCTGTGGCCTAGTAGTAAGGAGTTGTGCTTCCAACAAGAGAAGGATGGGCAAGCTCCTCCTGTGAGATTTATAGCCTCTGAAAACCCACTGAAGATCACGATGAGTTGGGTTGTTGAGTTGTCCACTGATGTGTAATTGCCTGGGCAGACATAAGGCAGTCTTTTTTATTCATTATTGTGTTCTCCCAGCATGCTGCCTGGGGCATATAACAACTATTCCGTATTTACTGAATGAAACATGTACACAAAGGAAGAGGTTCTCTATTCTCCTTTGCCTCCCCAGTCCTCGGACATCCATGTTAGAACTCACACTGAGGCGATTTACTGTTCGTTCACTGGATTTCCGTGACCTTGGAAGGGGAGGACTCACAAATCCATTTTGCAAATAAGGAATCTAAGACTCAGAAAATCCAAGGGAGACCACACAGCTAGCAACGGGCAGAGCCATTTGTGATGCCAAGTCTGCCCTCCACCTGGGTCCAAGTGTCGCCTGAGCTGCTCGGCAGGGCTCTCTGGCACAACTTGAATGTTCAGACTACCCTTGACCTAAATTTCCTGGTAATTACTGTCATCCAGAATTTGTCTCTTCTTAATAAATAACTTTCACCCATTTTAATGGCTCTTCTGTTTTCGTGTGTCCTTATGGTCTGCTTGGCCAAAGTAGAACTCCCAGAGTTCCTGTCATACTTGAGGAAGCTGGGACGGAGTGGAAGTGTGCCTCCACTTCCCTCTGTCAGAGCATGTGCCTCCTGGCTGGCTGACCTGGGTGAAGCTGGCCGTCAGAGGATTAAGCTCCAACCCCAGCCTGCAGTACAACACCACTGTTTCTTGGGGCTGTTAACATATTCATGATGAAATGCACATTTTCACATTCATGAGGTAACTGGTATTTGGGACCAAACTCCAGCTGGATAAATGTAGGGTCCTGAAAAAGAAAAAAATTCCAACCCAAGACTCCTTTCTGGCAAGTGCCCACACCATTTTCATCTGATGGTGGCCAAAACAGTTTTCCTGCAGCGTACGTCGGCTTTTCAACAATCTCCTCTCCTGCGCTGGCTGTATGCCAGTGGTTCTGCTCCTCAGCGATGCCTCCTGTGCCATTTATTCTATTGATGGAAGTGCTTCTGAGGATCAGACTGACAGTTAAGGTGACTGGTAAAAGGTGCCCATCTGTCCTAGCCTCAAGTGTCAGCACAGCGTCCCCATTCTTCAACACGCCCTTCTCATCGGGAACCTGTATAGGATCAGGGTTAGGAACATTCCTTCCCATTTTGCCTGAAGTCCTCCCCCAACCAGCCTTTTGAGTCAGCGTCCTTCCAAGCTTCCAGGGCTAGTATGGTCCTCTTGTTTTGGGAGTATACTACCAGTGTGCCATCGCCCAAGTGTTGACAGAAATAAACTCAAGGAGCCTCTCAACAACCCTGTGGAGAAGGCAAAGCCTATGTTATAGGAGGGAATGGAGGCTCACAGGGCTAGACTGTCCAGGAGCCCAGACAGGGCTTCATTTGTGCTATTATCCTGCTTCATGGCGTTTAGTGCTAAGAAAAGGCATTTAAGGCAAAACATACCTGGTGTCAATCAGTGTTGGACTCTATACATGAGCTAGGAACTCTGGGCAAATTATGAGTTATCAGTTTCTTCACCTGTCAAATGTGTATGAATTCACTGCCAACCTCTGAAGAATTAAGGATGAAAGGTGGTTGCACTCAGTGAGAATGTGGTCACACAAATGGGGTTCTCATGGGGTGGCATGAGAACCCTTGGTTCTCCTCTCTTGGTTCCCAGACCATGCAGGGAGTGGGCTCAGCCTGGGACATCGAGAGACAACGAAGTTACACCTCTGGGGCTTAGAGACTGACAACAGCTACTGAGTTCGGGCCATCTTGGAAGTTCAGACAGTCCACTCAGCCTGGAAGTAGAGGGCACCTGTGTCCCCCTGGTTCCACCACAGTGTTCTAAGCTTGCCCAGAGTGTGTCAGAAGTCTAGACCCATGAAGCCCAAAATTGCTGCTTGTAAAGAAGGGACTTTGAATGTTAAATAGTGGTAACATCCATCCATCCTTACAGCCTTCACACACACACACACGAATCCATGTGTGCCGCCAAAGGTGACCCTCCACCCTCCAAAGGAACCAAAGTCGGCTCAGAAAAGAAACTCAAAGACGTTATCCAAAAGAAAATAACAAAACAGAAAAAACCCAAACTTTACTTGCATTTAGCAGTTAATAAATAATTTACAGTATGTACACGCGGTGACACTCCACACAGGTCATGGACGCAGTGAAGGGTCCTCACTTCCAAGCAGAACGAGATCAAACACAACCAAAATAAAGTGCTTCACTTTTTACTTCCGACACAGGGGGCAGTCTAACAACCAGCAGGAAGGGGTGGGGCAGAGTCCCCTCCAGGCTGACCACATGGTTTTGGCAGCGAGAAAGGGACCTCTGGGGGGGTGGGGCTGGGGAGAAGCAGCCTCCGGGCCAGTGTATGAGATCCCTGGGGGACAGCAGAAGGGCTGCCCGGGGACAAGGACAGACAGACACCGTGTAGGGGCTGCAGGATGTCCAAGAAGATGGCCTTTGGGGCTGGTCACACCCCCAAGGGTTCCTAGAGCAGCAGCAGGACCAAGGCTCCTAGTAGCACGTGTCCTGGCTGCGTGGCCACAGGACTTAAGAGAAGGGACCACTGTCCACGAAGAAGGAGGTGGGGGAAAGATCCTGCCAGGGATGCTCAGGGCCTGGGGCCATCTGGACCCTGCTCCCTCCCGGACTCCTGACACAGCGAAAGGGGCGAGGGGCTGTGCCCACACAGTGAGGAGTGGGCAGAGGTCAGGGCAGGCCAGCTGGCCCCAGCCACTATCTCTTGTGAACCAAACACTCCACCCAAGGGCCCACCCTCTCCTGGAAAGGAAAGAGAAGTCATTAGGGTCTCATTTCAACATTTAGAACCAAGGATTAGGTTGAAACTGGGGGGGGGGGGGCCAGAAAAAGGTGACAGTCACTGTCTCTCCCAACGGGCTCTCTAGGTGGGTGGGCAAGAGGCAACCTCAGGGTGGCTGAGGGCAGGAAGGCAGAACTTCAGGCCAACATGTCCCATTTAATTTGCTAGAGGCTAAAGGGCACCCTGGGGTATCCAAGGCCCTTCCTGGGGCAGCCACGCCCAGCCCACAGGGGGCTGGCTGGGCATCTCCTCAGGTGTGGGCATGTGTGTGAGTGTGCTCATGTGGGTGTGCGTGTTGGGAACACAGGGCGCCCGGGGGCCCTGCGAGGGGTGCCGGCTGCTTTCAGTGCATCTAACAGGAGTGGGGGATGGACTCTGAGGGGGCCCAGTGTCTCTCTGGTGGCTGGGGAGGGGCTCGGCCTGGGGACTCTGGTTTGCACATTCACACAGTGGGGTGGGGGCGGCAGGGAGCGGCTCTCCCGCTCACAGGACTCTAACGTCACAGCACCAGTCACCACAAGCTTGTCACGTGCACTAGCGAGAGGGGCTGAGGGATCGGCCCCCGCCCGAGCCCTCTGGGCGTGCAGGCCGAGGAGGCCCTGAGGTAATGTCTGCAGGCCTGTTCACATGGCCTCCCGCTGTCCGGGTCTGGCAGAGCCTGCTGACCTGCAGGAACAGCACCTGATGCCTCAGAGAAATCAGGGTGCAGGAGCCTGCCCGCCTGGGAACAGTCACCTCACCTCCTCATCCTATAAGAATGTGGGGAGAAGAGCGAGGAGGAGGCTGCCAAGCAGGGCTCTGGGGGCCAGGGATGGGGGTGCAGCGGCCGCCGGGTTGGGCAGCTCCTGAGTCCTCTCATACAGATGCAGCCTGTCCTTGTTGGAGTGCAGCATCTTGACGTCCTCCAGGGCATAGTAGGCAGCCAGGGTGAAGTTCACGTCGCCCGTGGTGAGCAGGTCAAACACGCAGGCCTGGTAGTAGAGGTCCTCCACGGGCAGCTTCTCCTTGCACTTGGCTGCTGCTGTCTCATAGGGGAAGGTCTCGGGGGCTGCGGGGGTGGCGGCCGCGTGGACGGCCTGGAAGTCGATCTGCTGGTTGAGGGGGCAGCCCCGCAGGCAGAGGTAGAGGCCCTGGCTGTCCCGGTCCTCCACGGCGTTGACCACCTCCTCGGGCATGCGGATGGCAAAGGTCAGGTAGCGGCCCACCTGGCGCACGACGATGGTGGTGCCGATGTACTTGGCCTGGATCTCCACATGCTGGCCCGACACCTTCTCGGTGATCTTCAGGCTGTTCGCCCCATGCTTGTCCCCGCCGTTCTTGGAGCCGTCAGCGAAGGCGGCCGGCAGCTCGTCCATTTCTGCCTGGTACACCTTCTGGTCCACGCACTCCTGGAAGTTCTTGAAGATGATGGTGAGCTGTGGGGAAGGCCAGAGAAGGGGTGAGATGGTGCCTGCACCTGTGAGCCAGTGATGTGTCCCGGTTGGGAGAGAAGAAGCCCCATCACTCACTCTCCAGACTCTCTCGGGACTGAGGTGGGGAACAGGGACCTAGACCCTCCCAGCTCAGTTCTCGTCCTAATTCTGCACCATCATGGGATTAGAGGCTCAACTACTGACCGAAGGGCTGGTGGTTCCAACCTAGCTAGAGATACTGAGGAAGCAAGGCCTGCTTATCTGCTCCTGAAGTCCATGGCCTTGACCCCTCGGAGCACGATTTACCCTCATACTCACAGACACAGACACAGACAGACACACAGACAGACACACACACACACACACACACACGCCACATGGGTCAGAAAGAGCACGGCGGTAACTGGTTTGCTTTGTTTTTAAGTATCTTTCTTTAAATCAACTCCTGTCTTGTACTAAAAAATTTTCTTGGAAATTTTAGGTTACCCCACCTAAACAGAAAGCCAGTCTTATTTATGTTACACAGAAAAGAGTAAAAAATAAAAAACAAAAGCATTGTGAATTTCAGAAAAATAAACCAACCAAAATCAGCAACAACAAAACCCTTCCAACTGCTAGTCTGTGTGCCAGACTCAATAATGGTCCCAAGAATCAAGATCGGATCCCTGGAACTTGTGATTGTGACCTAATATGGCAAAGGGGCTGTGTTAGACAGAGCATCCTGACCATGAAGTGATGAGCCCATGAGCCAAGGAATGCCTGGAGACTCTGGGAAAAGCGGGCCTGCTGACTTCTTGATTTAAGACTCATTTCAGACCTCTCCTCTCCAGAACGATTTGCTGATGTTGTTGGCTGCTTGGCAGGGCCCCTGGCTCATGGTAACCTGGCCTACAACAGAACAAAGGACGTTCAGCCAACACCACCCTGTGAGTGGCTGTGGACTGTATCTTGGGATGGTCAGGGTGGCCACAAACTGGTTTTCAGAAGGACTGACAGGCCTTTCTTGCTAACCTTCCTTGATTCAGACGCTGGCTTAGTATCATAGCAATCTGCTTACCTTTGCTGACGGACAGGCAGTGCTGGGTATGAAGTGGTTAATGGAAGTGGTGTCCTGAAGGAAAAAGAGCATCCAACCTCTGAGCCAGTGGGGTCTCCTCTGACAAGATAAAGTTCTGCTGTTTATGCTTGACCCTACAGTGGGTTTTCAGAGGCAGTAAATCATATGGGAGAAGACTGCCCATCTTTCTGCCACAAAGCAGCTGGAGGCTCTGAACCATGTGACTTTGGGATTGCAGCACAGCTTCTTAACCCTTGGTTATAACAGCAGTGGGAGGTGCTAGGGACTCTGTAGCTTAACAAGAGTGCACGGCCAGGAGAGGACCTTTGTGTTGTATGTGCCTTCGAGCTGGAACCAACTCACAGTGACCCTGCAGCAGGTCCTCAGAGGCAGGAACTCACACGGGAGGAGTCTGCCCATCTATCTCCTGCAGAGCAGCTGGCAGATTCGAGCTGCATGCCTTCAGGCTAGGAGTACAGCTCCTTACCACTAGGCCACCAGAGCTCCTTAGGGGAGAACCACAGGTGTCAGCAATCATGAGGAAACCAAACCAGCTCCAGGAGGAGCAGGAAAGCAGAGAGTGCCACAGCTCAGCTCACCTTCAAGGGAATGACTGGCCAAGAGTACCGAGGGCAGGGCTATGGGCTGGCCAGTGTGTGTGACTAAAATCCAGGGTGGCTGAGGGCACACGGGACAGTGCTGTCCTCCCGAGACCTGGCAGGCTGAGGGTGAGGCCAGACAGGGAGTGGTTTCAGCAGCAGGCACTGAAGGGCAGGTCTGAAGATTTGGAAGGAGCTGCAGAATGTTCTCGTGTGAACACGCCAGCATAGTTAGGAGACCCTGGAGGGTACCAGCTCTACAAGGCCTCTGTTCTGGGGAGGTCTCCCACAGTGACAGAAAACTACTAATACTAGTAGCCCACGGGTGCCTGGTGCCCACGGTGCCAGGGGCCTTCAGCAAGGCTGACAAAGCAAGGAGACCTGTACCACCTCTTCCTGGGCCAACCGCATGTCAGCCTGGCTAGCTGGACAGAGTGTGTGGACTCAGCTGCTGGACGGCTTCTGGGGGGCTCCAGGCACTTCAACCTTCATGTGTCCCTTTCTGTACAGAAATACCCAACGCTGTATTTGATATGTATTGGTATAAAGACCAACACAATCTAGATCAGGTTATTTTAGTAACTTTTCTTTACATTTCAGAAGCTATTACAGCATTTCCCGGGCCCCTAGAAGTCACATAGTTCTGGGGACAGAATGTCCTCAGCACAGATCATGGGGTGGCCTGGTGAGGGGCATTCTGAATGCAACTCACCTTCTCTCAGTGAGGGGGTGGACCCCAAAGCTGGAGGCCATGGAGAAGCATGATATGAGGGGGCCTGGCATCTTTAGGCATGGGCTCTGTTTTTTCATCTTGTTCTGGGAGAGCTGGTCCTGAGAACCCCGAGCACACATCTGGTTTGCTGTGACTTATCTTAGGTAGCCGTAGCCGGTCAATCTAGCTTGGACCAAACAAAGCTGCTGCTAAGTTGCCATCGTTGACAGATAAAAGTGGCAGTGTCATGCACTGTGGCCTCCTGCCACCTCCCTTCCACCATGCCGCAGGCCAGCTGCAAGGTGGGGCAACCAGGGTGGTCTAGGTAGTGGGTGGCCCTGCCATCAGCACACAGGGGAGAGAGAGAGAGACTCTGGTGTCCTGCCCTGGTGTGCACGACCACAAAGTCTCAGGGTGGGCGGGGGTCGGCCCTGCTTTCCAAGGCCTTCATCTGTCTCCCTGAACAGGAAAGGCTGGTTTGGACTGTAACCGCGTGGCTGTGGAGTCAGTCTTCTGGAAAGCTGACAGGCTGCCTGACTGTTCTTGGCACCATCGCAGGAGAATCAACCACAAGTAACAGCATGAAGGAGGCCTGTCAAATCTGGGGCGGCCTGCTGCCAGCTCGTCCACAAGCACAGCCACCACCCTGCCTGTGCACCCCACCTGAACCCCCGAGGGCTTGGAGCCATGGGCCGGGCCATGGCTCTCCACCGTGATGGGCAGGGGGCAGCCTTAGGCCTCAGCCACGGCCAACTACCAAGCCCAGTGCCAGGCTCTGTCCCCATGGAGCAGCCTATGCGGCAGGGCACACTCGAGGTGCCTGGGGTCAGGCCTCACTCAGACAGATCGTCCATTTGGGAGGGCAAAGCTTGTGGCTGCATGGCTAAGGGGCAGGCAGGATGGACGTGCTCTGGGCAGCCAGGGGAGCAGGTAGGGATGCAGGGAGGAAAGAAAGAGGTGTGGTGTGACCACTGAGAAGGGACATAGGGAGTGTGTTCAGGTGGACAGAGGGATCTGGGCTTCTGTGGAGGTGACAGAAGCCACAGGGGCACCACCATGGAGATAAAAGCCTCCGGGAGACTTCCTAACAATTCTGGACTCGCCGGCCCACTTGCTCCTCAGTCCCCTGTGGCCACTCTCCCCGCTACGGCTCCCATGATGCCTCCTCAGTCTTTCCACATGGAGATCCCTGCAGCCCCATGTTCTTCAGGGGTGAACTCGATGCAGAGCTCTCCCTGGGCATAAGCAGCATCCCCACGGGCCCTCAGCTACCCGGCACGAGTCATAGCACACCCCTCCCTGCATGTCATCCATTCGTCCAAGAACTTCTAGAAGGAAAGGCAATGTGAGCTCTGGGACAGACACATGCGTGAGACTGGCAAGAACAAGCTGGGTGGGCCGAGGGGAACCATGGGCCCCACGGTCCAGCCAGAGCCCTGACCCTGACCCTGTCACTGACCGCCCCCAGTGGTAAGATGACAGCAGGCCCCTGAACTCAGGTCAGAGGCTAGAGGGATGGGGGCCAGCCAAGCTCAGCTCTGTAATCTGCATCTTTCTGGAACCATTTCCCCATTGCTCCCCACAGCACCCAGAGAGCTGGAACAGGGCAGGAGTTCCAAATGTACTGGTTGAGTCAGTGAACAACAGGAGAGTGATAATTCACCTGGATTCTGACAGCATCCCTGGACTCAAGGGCCCCATGTGGACTGTGGGAGCTGGGCTGTTCTGAGCTCAGAGCCGGGCTGTAGGTCCATCACAAGACAGTCCCGAGGTGAATGGGCCCTTGCTGGAATTTTTCCACCCTCCAGTTATTGGAATGGCAGTCTGCCTCGCTGACCAGCAAAGAGCAACCCCGTGCAGACGGGGGGGCGGGGGGGGGGCCTGGCTCTGCCAACACGTCAAGGGCTCACACAGTTGTGGGTCAGAGGGGCAGGTGTGGGTCAGGAGTCCCTGTCAGCTCATGCCAGTCCCAGAATGTCCAAGGGAGGTGGGCACCTGCTGCTGAGTTGAGAAGCTGAGCCTCGGCAGTGGAGTCAGGGCTTACTTTTCCAACTGTTTTTTTTTATCCCTTGATATCCTGAGACTCCGCCCTACCATCGCTCAGCTAATTGATCAAACTATGGATAGTATGTCTAGTTGGGGAATATTTCCTCTACCAGATATTGTAAAACTGAGGGTGGTTAAGTCTGCCCTGAGGCAAGTGTTGATTAGACGTGCTAAACTAGGTGGGAACCACAAGAATTGCCCGATCCCACCCAGGTGGTTAATTTAAAGCAATATAGGATACCCAGTGGACAGAAGAAAATTACTGCTTTGATAAAAGACCTGCTTAAGGCTGGAGTAAGGCAGGGCCTAATCACCCCTTAGCTCCTGGGGTGTGATCTATGTCTAGTTCTGATACAAATATACTGTCCCAAACTGTCAGCGTTCTCCTCTGCTTGTTCAAAAGAGCCAGCCTCTTGGCCTGGGGGTATGCAGGGTCCAAGAGGCAGGGAAAAATAGACAAACCCTCCCAGGCATGCTAGAAGCACTAACACTTCCTTATAATACACTCATCCTGGGGAAACAGGCCCAGGGTCATGCTGTGGATGGACAGTCACCTTTCTGACCTGCCTAGCCCCTGGGCTCTGATGGGCAGGGGAGGGGGCTGCAATGAGGAAGGCAGACTTGTCCCATCACTGGGACTCAGAGCCACTAGCCTCTTATGGTTAAGTCAGAGAGTGATGTCAACAGAGACTCCCTCTTGGAAGTGGATGGGGGAGGCCTGGAAAGCCCCCAGTGTCTGTCATGCAGCAGCCCCTTGCCATGGCCCCGTGAGAAGCACTGAGCCCTGCAACTCAGATTCTGTCACCTCCTGGGGTCAGAGAATAGCAGGCTCTCAGCGGTACCGAAGGCCCCAGAACTGCCTCGGAACATGCTAAGCTCTGGGGTCACAGCCCAGGGTGAACACGGCACAGTGCTGCTGGCCAACTAGCTGTGACTTTGGGTATGAGTCCTTACCTGACAAAGAGAGCTGTGGAGCCAGGAAGAGGGGCATGTGGGTGGCCACGACTGCAGGGGCTTGATCAACATGCTAGCTACTCTGTCTTCCCTCCACCCCGCATCCCCAATCCGCTCTGCTCTGGAGCCACTTCTCCTCAAGCATCCATGCAGAGCCAACAGACAGAGCTAGACTGGTCCCCACAGCCTGGGCCTTGCACTCGTTGTTCCCAGCCTGTCAAATGGCAGAACCTCTGGAGCCTTCCACAGCACACGCCTGGCCCACTCCCAGGGATCTGGTTTCAGATCAGTCTGGAGTGGAGCCCAGAACCAACACACTCTAAAGTATCCTCCAGTTTTCAAACCCACAGGCAGGAATGAGAACCACTGGGTAGGGAGGGCCACAGCACCCAGCAGGGACGCAGGGTTGCTTTCCAAGTATGGCGCTCACTCCAAGAAGATGGTAAGCTCTTTGAGGACAAAGACAGAGGTAGACAGACCTGTCAAAGACATTTCACTTTTTTATTGATCTGTAACGCTGGAGTTCTACCAAGCACAAGGGCAGGAAAGGAATATTCCACATGTTTGAAAACAAGTGCTCTGGATTTTGTTCATAGGGTCGCTATGAGTTGTGCTCAACTCGAAGGCAATCAACAGCAACATAGCAAAGTAGGGAGCTCTGGTAAGAAGCTGCACTGCAATCCTGAAGGAACGTGGTTATAAACCACCAGCTGTTCTGAAGGAGAAGGATGAGCATCTCCTTCCCTGAAATTAACTGCCTCTACACGCCCGCTGAAGAGTCAGTTATGATTGGTTCTGACTCAACAATATACAACAGCAGCAGCAAAGTAGAGGGAGGTAGTGGTGGCCCAGTGGGAAGGAGCTGTGCTGTCAACCCAAAGGCACGCAGCTTGAATCCACCAGCTGCTCTGTAGGAGAAAGATGGGCAATAGCCTCCTTGCAATTTATAGCCTCTGAAAGCGACGAGCTAGCTCCTCCTTGATGGCAAAGAGAGAGACAAATAACCCTTTAAGAAATCCATTTTATATCTTGACCCAATGGCACAAATGGGTATTGTGGGTATGTACGTGGGCTCGTGCATCTGTGTGCCAGTACAGTGGTATCTCTGGGCACTGGAAACAGTTCACATACTTTTCTGCTAACAGAAAAGTGGAAAGGTTCAAGTCCAAGTCCCAGAGATGTACTTCTGAGAAGTCAGCCACTGACACCCCATGAAAATAGCTCTATTCTCACCCATGAGATTGCCTGGATGATCTAGTATACACATACACGCGTATACACACAGACACATACCAAAAATCAGTTTTAACCAACCCAACCTCTGGTAACACATGGTGTCTGCCTCTCACCTTCCCTACCTCCTCTATACTATGTGATCTTAAAACCATGCTGTCAAGATGCCCCAACTCATCTGGATCTTTCAGAAGCAGATGGGGGGGGGGTGTCTTTCTGCTAAGGTGCCTGTGGGGAGATTTAAACGGCCAAGCTGTAGATTAACAATAGGGGGCTCCACGATCTGCACTCCCCAAACAAGCAGAATACAAAGAAATACGCCTGCACGAGCACACGCACACATGCACGCGCACGCACACATGCACGCGTACGCAGGTTCCTGGCACCAGATTATTGCTTTCATGATCCTCCGGTGCACGGTGGATTGGAAAGCACCCGTCTGGGCAGGACACAGAGGCGGCTTCGGGCTCCTACCTTGCTGGTGGCAGTGGCAGCCGAGCCGGGCAGCACAGGCGTGTTAGTGACCTGCACGTTTAAGTAATTGTTGTCGATGAGCGGCCAGGCTCCCTGCACCTTGCAGGTCTGGAAGCGGTCTGTGAAAGTCCTGAGGTGCGGGTCCCCGAAGAGGCCACAGTGCGTGTAGTTCGGGGCCGCCAGGTGCTTGTGGAAGCTCTTCTCATAGTGGCAGGTCTCGGGGCTGTCCGAGCGCTCCTGGCTGTCGCCGGCCGGGGGCAGAGTGCGCAGGCGCGGCTGCGAGGTGGGTCCGTCCTTGGAGCAGTTGTGCTGGCTCATGAGGTCCTCTATGCCATGCACGGCCGAGTGGTAGGCCAGGTCGCCCCGGCAGGTGCGGGCCGTGCGCCGCGTGCAGTAGGCGTAGGCGCGCAGCGCCGTGCAGAACTCGGGGGCGTCCTCCGCGTGGCCGCCTGCCGTGGCGCTCCAGAAGTCCGAGTTACACTTGAGGATCTTGCACGGCGAGGTGGCTGCGGAGAGAGGAACCGACCAAGTTAGGAAAGGTCTCAGGGACTCTGGGGGTTTGAACTTCTGTGTGGGGCAAGCGGGCAGGCGTGCTGGACGCGGAGACCTCACCCAACATGCCTCCATCCACACTGTGTGCGTCTCCTGTCAACAGTGAGAAATTACTGGCAGGTAACCTGCAGATGGGGCATCTTCTCAAATGCTCCCCCCCTCCCCCCAACAGTTCACCACCAGAGAGAGGAGGGGTCTGGTTCTGGGTTTCAGGGTTGGGTGGGCTGACTGACCACCCTTGTGATCACCCCCAAGAATTTTGGCAAAACCAGCATATACTTGGCACGAAAGCTAAGCCCCTGTTACATGTGTGTCTAAAGCTCTGCTACTGTGTGTATCACGAAAACTTCTGTGCTGATTATATACCTCTAGAAAACAGGATAACAGGATCCACCACCCGGGGCTGCTGAATGCTCAACCACGTCCACAGGACCAAGGGGCGCAGAGGCCTACAGGAAAAGCTCTATGACCAAACGCTGCCTGTCATGATCATTTTATTGGCCATGTCACAAAGGAGCTGGCTCCAGTCACTGGAGTGGTGGCATGTCCCTGCTCTCTCATCTGCTCAGGAAAGGAAACAAGCAAGCAACTGAGGTTAGTAACCTCATATCTACTTTGTTTTTAAATAATTCCAAACTTTGAGCTCTAAATGATAACTAGCTAAAACAGGATTGTGAGCAGTGGCATTAATGCACTCACGGAGTCTTATGTAGATGAGTGAAATCTGCCCTTTGCTGGCTTTCTAGATCCTTCCGCACAGCCTATAATGACCACAAGTGACCAGATATGCAGACGGGGAAGGGTGCTTTCTATTCTCCAGGCTCAGCAAAGGGGGCACAGCTGGAAGTCCACCACTACTGGGCCACCAGAGCTGGTGGGTTTGGCAAGTCAGTGTGCTTCTGTGGAACTGGCTTTTGACCTCCAAAACGGAGTTAAGAGTAAAGCCCCGGGTAGATATTTGAAGGCAGGCTAGCAAAAGAGCAACAGGGCCCCCCACGCTCGGCTCCGAGGGCCTTTCTAGGACTCCTCAGAGCCTGTCGGCCTGGGGTGTGGCCTCACAGTGCTCTGCTGCCTGTTCAGGGGCAGCACCTTCCTTCACACACTTCACCAGGCTAAGGCCTGGCGGCTGGTGCACCCAATGAGCCTCACAAGCAGCCCCTGTGGGATCTTTTTTAATATTTTTCTTAATTTGAAAAGTTATTTTTATGTATTACAAAATACCTAGGCCTGGTAAATGCAGAGATATAAAAGTTTATTAGTGGTTACCAGGAGCTGAAGGATGGGGTAGATGGAGAGTTACTGCTTACAGGAATCGTAGCTGGGGTGAGTAAAAGCATTTGGAAATGGACGATGATGACTGTACAATTATTAAAATCACTGAGCTGTACACTAGGAAGTAGCTGAATTTTTTTTTTTTTGCTGTAAATATTTTGCCACAGTACAATTTTAGAAACATGAAAGAAAACAACTATTCCTCAATAAACCTGAAACAACCAATTAGCCCCAGTGCCACCAAGTTGACCCTCTACTGGGTTTCTGGGGCTGTAAATCGCACAGGAGGCGGTTTTCCATCTGTCCCTCGCCGAACCTGGAGAGATGTGGTCTGTGAGCTCCCTGTGGGCAGAACTCGGGATGCAGGGATATGAATGAAACACGAGCTGACCCTGATCAACGCTCCGAGATGGTCCCTGCGGGTCTGGGTGATGGGCACCCGATTGATCAGACTGTTATGTCTGCTTCTGAAATTTTCCGTAACCAAATTAAAAAGCCAGAACGGCACATGTCTGACTTGTGCAAGTGCTCGCTGGCACTCACCAACTTCCCCACAGCAGCAAACTGGACAAACTTTAGGTGGGACTGATATGCCACCAGGTTCCTCTCTAATACCTTATTTAAACGAAGATGCATGTGAGTAAAGATCAGGGGGAGGCAGCAGTTCCTATGTGGACACTGCACCATAGCTGCTCCCAACTCGTTTCCATGGACCTTGACAGACACCAGAAACACAGGCTAAGAGGCCTGAGAAGCAGAGTGTGGCCCAGGGTGGCGGGGAGGTGTGTGTGTGTGCACAGAGTGAGGGGGCCGCTGTGCTGAGAGGTCGGTGATTCAAACCCACTAGCTGACCTCTCATAAAGAGTCACTGGGTATGCACAGTAAAGTCAGAACCGACGCAAAGCTGACCCTGCAGGGGATTTTCAGAGGCGGTAAATCACATGGGAGGAAATTGCCTGTCTTTCTCCTAATGACTGGATTTGAACCACGTGCCTTCAGGTTGGCAGCACAACTCCTTACCTCTAGGCCACCAGAGCTTCCTTACTAAGAGCACTGCTTAGAAAACCCTATGGGAGAGCTCAGTCAAATGGTGTTCTGATGAGTTGGCACTAACAGGAACTATGTGCTGCTGCTATGACCGCCCACCCTCATCTCTGGTGCTGTGGTCTCCAAACAATGTCCATCCTGGCAGCCTCATTCATGATGGAAGCAGTTGGTGCTGACCTGAGAGTGTCCTTTCTCTTGGTTATGGTTAACAGTGACCACAAAGAATCGCCCAAGAGGCACAGGCCTTCTGCTGAGTAGATGGCCTCCCCTCCTCTGCTGTCGCCACCTCCCAGGAAGGAACCCAGTTCACCTCCAGACATCACTGAACAAAGCGAGATGATCTTCACGTCCCCATAGACTGAGCTGCCTGTGACACAATCAGGAACTGCCCTGGCTTCCTCATTCCTGCAGATCCAACGCAGGGTCAGTCACCATGCACGGTCACAGCGCCCTCACTCTTCCTGGCCAGAGCAGCAGGCATCCCTCCTCAGGGCATTCAATCCCCCAGCGCCCACCCACTGGGGAGAGGTGACTGTCATTCTCAAATCTCAGGCTGGAAGCCAGACTCAGAGGAACTAACACAGGGTTTCACTACTAAGAAAGCTGAAATCCCTGGGACTCAGAGTCATGAAGACCACTCAGAACCTTTCTGACTCCAGGGAAGACTGACAGGTGAACCCAGCCTCTCCTAGAAACCTTTCCAGACACACTGAGAGCCCCACTGGTCAGAGGCCAGTGGTTCACATGCATGACTTCAGAGAAGGCCCTCATTCCCAGGGGGCATTTCTCCAAGTAGAGCATGCAGGGAAGACCAAGAGCTTGAGGGCGTGTCAGCATGGTGATCAGGGCAGGGCCAGCGTGCACATGGTAGATGAGGGATGGTGAGGGGTCTCACTCCTGACTCACCCAGGTCCTTACACTTTCATGGGGAGGCAGGAATTAGCATTGCTGTCTCACAGCTTTGCAGAATGGCCTGGAGCAGTGCCCCAGCTCTGAGTGTGTCAGGTGTGCTCAACCCAGGGCCCCAAATGGGCTGCTTCCGGACCGGGTCAGCAGCAGGACCCGCTGGCATATTCTCTGGAAGGTAGACCCCTCCACTTTCCCATCAATGTGGGTAGCTGAGAAGCTGTACTTCTACTGGACTCTCAGGGGTGGTCTCTGGGGCCCGAAGGCCACACTGTGACTGCCAAGCACTTGAAGTGGGGTCATTTCTGCTCAATAATCACAGTGAGGTCACACTGGAATCTGCAGAACTCACGGGCGGAGTGAATGGCGAGAGGAGGCAGCTCTGCTCAGGAGCAAACAGCTGGGACATAGCTGCCTTTAGTGCCAACTTGGGGCCACGGTGCCCCAGGTAACCCAGAACTTGTGCGGAGTCAGCACTCTGAGGCGAGATACCTCCACCTTCCTCTCCTTTCCAGTCGCTTCCACCAGAGCCTGCAGGACAGCTGCCAGGGCTGGCACGGCAGCTCTGCCCACCATCCACAGGGGGCGACAGAGGCTGCCCTTCTGGCCACTGCACTCAGCAGGCCCTGGGACCCTGTGCACACAGGGGAGCTTCTCTGTCCACTTCCAGCCTCTAGCTGCGTCAGCCACACTGGGGAACGTACTCATGCTAACACCAGGACTGAGAACAATACTAAGAGGTGATGGTAAGACACTGACTGCTGTGAGGGCCTCCAGGGGGGGTGGTGGGTGGAGTAGACAGTGCAGGGAGGTTTGATGGTTCTAAGCCGCATCATGTCACCTACTGGACATGTGGGAACTTGGGTGTGTCACTTGCCCACCGTGCTTCTTCATCAGTTAAGGACAAGCACCCACTTGCCAGGGCTGCGGAGCATTCAAGGAGATGAGAGCCCTGGACCTAGTGGGTGAATCAAACAGGGTCCTTGGCAGAGGGCTCAGAGGGACATAGGACTCACAAACTCATGAAGTCTGAGGTTAGAAGTCACGAATGAGGGTGGGAAGAGAACATGGGTCAGAACAGCCCCCTTACTGCAGCCTCTGGCCCTGGCTGGCCTCTGCCCCAGCACCATCGGCCCGCTGACTGCCCACCCAACACACAGCTCATGGGGGCCAAGGTCTGACAGTCTATTCCTTCATCTAACTGTCACGGGAGGGAAAGCCTCACTCCTCTCCCCTCCCCTGCAGAGCCTTCCCAAGTCTCCCCTGGAGAAGCAACCAGGCTCCAAAGAGCATCTGTTGTAGGGGGGTTGGCAAGGCCATGCTTACTCAGTTTCATGGACTATTTCCCACCTTGTTCAAGTCCACGTGGGGTGCTGAGCAAGAAAGGCCTGGAGACCTGCTTTCATGAAGTCAGCACCTAAAACCCTAAGAAACACTCCTGTCAGCACTATGGACATGCACGGGGTTGGGGTCATCAGTGAGAAGAAGCTGAACCGACAGCCATTACGTGGAGGTGGGGGTGGTGGAAACGTGTGTTGAATGCTCATTATGTGACAGCCTCCAGAACTCGGTTCATGCCCAGGGGCCCAGGATGGAGGCAAGATGCAAAGTCCAGTTTTGAACCCCAAGCTGCTTTCTCCTTTTCCTTTACTGTGTTCTATACGCTCCATGCTAGCCCCAGCCTGGGGGTTTTGGGGAGACACAGACACCGAGCAGGGCCTGTGTTAAT